TAACTAAAGCCAATTTATGATAGTGTATACAAACAGTTAAGTGTGTGCTTACTAAGTGAGAATTAAAAATAATATAATTCCAACAAATATATGAAATATTACAATACACACAAATAACCATCCTTATATCCCTCCATTAACCTCAAGCCGTAACCCTCACTCGGTGCTAAATTACCCGACTAAAGGTAGATTAGCCCGAGCCCTTACAAGCCACCTATTGAGCTCCAATAGGGGCGTACCACGTGGCACATAAATACAACAATAATAGCAAGTCTCCCAACACTTCTCACAATAATTAAACAAATTCATAATAATATTATACAATTATACAATATTACAAAATTCATAATTTTCTCAATAATCACCCAATTAACATGAAGTAACACTAATCACAAATTAAAAGCATGGTTACCTTGTGGCTTTTTCAATAAATTATTCCTTAAAATTTCTCTCTCACCACAATCTTCACCAGTAATACAATCTACAAATAACATATTATTTATAAATATTAGTTTCAATTTTTGAAACTAATAAAATAATTCTAATAATAGAATTAAAAATATAACATAATTCCTAATCTCAATCTTAATACAAATCTATAGTTAATACTATTAAGTAAAATTTTTAACTCCTCTTTTAATTATCAATAAAAATTAATAATCTAAAAATCAACTTCTAAACTAATTTCTATTATCAAAATTTTCTTTTTATTTCATAAATTCGTACCTAAAATACCCAAAAATTAAAAATTGAGTCTTTAGCTTAGAATCATAATCCTATAACCATAATAATTCATTTCTCATCCCAAATAATCATCTAAACCTCAATAAATCAACATATATTTTTAGATCTAGTTTAGAATTTGATCCATAAGCCACAAATTCAAAGATCATCAATAAATTTATACTCTAGAACATTTTTTATACTACTGACAACCTCAAAAACCATATTTATTCAACATAAATTCATCCCTCTTCCAGATCTTAAATTTTCTAACACTACAAACTCAGAAATTAAAGAAGAAGGATGACTAAGAAAATTTTTTAGAACACTTACTTAGTCTTGAAAAGCTTAAAATCACACCCTAAATATCCTATTAAAAACTCTTACCTTAAAAATTTAGATATTTCACACCGGCGACTCGCTTCTCTCTGCCTCAGCTCGCGCGCAGGAAAAGAATTGAAGAAATGAAAGGAAACGGGTGAGTTTTATAAAAATTCAGTGGGTCCCACATCTTTTTTTTATTATTATTTCTTCTTTTCTCTCTCTCCCTTTTTTTTATTTTATATTCATTATTGATGTGCGGCAGCCGAAAGTTTCCTTGTTCTTCTCCTTTCTTGTTTTTACACCTTTTCTTTTCTTTTTTTTTATATAATAATAATAATAATAATAATTTAATAATATTTTTTATTATTATTTTTTTAATTTTTTTTAGAATTATATCCTAAGTAGATTTAATAATCATCTCTTACTAATTTTCTTACCTCTAAATATTATTTATTTTTTAAATTTCTATTAATCCAAATTAACTATTAAAATTTAAATTGGGATGTTACACTGCTAGTCTTAGTTTTTCGAATAAGGCGTCTCTAAGCTCAACATTTAACAAGACATTAACGAGGCGCACTTTGTTCAATAGATCTTGGCATTTTATTTTATGCAACTTATTGGCAAATTTATGTTTTCTTAACTAATTTTAAGGGAATAGATATAAGATTATCAATAATATATATGGACAATATAAAGCAAGATAGCTTATTAATTATGTTTGTGAAAAGACTATAAAAGTTATAGAGAACACTACAGATTTAAAAAGTGCATGTTAGAAACATTAAAGAAACAATGGGAATGTACCAAAGATATCTTCGTAAACACATTTTTTAAAAAAACAAAAAAGTTTGAACGAATACGAGAGGATGAAAATAAAGAATTTTTTGACAAAGAGAAAAAGAAAAATAAAGAAATTTAATTTGAAAGATGGCGGTGGCCTTTGGAGTTCGAAACTCCTCATTCTTTGTTCAAGACAACGCACACCCTCTATTTCTATTATAAAGCGTTTTTAATTATTTTATTGGAAGGAATAATAGTTAATTCATTAAATGCATCTTAAAATGAAAAGAAATCCAGCTTTACCCCTGTTAAAGTTAAGAAAAAAGACATACAAACATATGATAGACCATAAAATTTGACTTATAACAAAGATAAAATTGAAAAATGATAATAAGTATCTATGTACCTTCTATTAAGAATAAAATAATCTTTCTAAAAAATGCCCTATGGTATGGTAGGGAGCAGAGAGAGTATGTGTTTAAAAAATAAATCTGTAGCACTGAAGTTGATAATGTAATGGTATGTTGGATAGTGTGATCCACCGGATCCCAGAAGCACCCAATTAAATAGCAGTGTGTTTTGGGAATTCGAATCGAAGGGAAGGGAATATGGATTGAAAAGGATGTGATCATGTAGGCAGAGATATAGAAGCAAAAACATTTGACAGCTCTGAGAGCAGTTAAGTTAGTTGAGGTAAGAATCCAGCGCATATCAAACTAAGCAAGCAGCTGAGCACTAAGCAAGTGATCGTGGTGGGGGTTATTATACATGAGACAGTTGTAATATTATATATAGTCGTACCATGCATCCTAAAAGCGGCGGAGCGAGAGCCCCTTCGTGAGAGGGAGTGTATGTGGTGAATAGCGAGAGCATACAAAAGTCAATTATGGTTTTGGTGGTGCTTAAGCCATTGCTTATTACTCTAATTATGTCTTCACTTGACTTTCTCTCCTAACCCCTTCTATCCCATTATACCATTATACCAGCAGATCTCCCCCGACGCTGTTTGCTTAAAAAAAATCAGGCATTTCGATCTCCCGACCTCTCTGTCTCTCTCTCTCTATATATATAAAATTAAATATATTTTAAATCTTTTGAACTGATGCAAACATGCTGCATGCATTTATTTCTTTTAAAAAAAAAAATACAGTAACATGATGAAATGAAACTTTGACTTACCACTCAAGTGTTAGTTCACAAACACGTACGCGATATTAGCTTCCCATTCCATTTTTGTACTAATATTAGTCTCCATCGTATCCTTATTTCTGTCTATCCAAATATATTAGTATTATTATTGCTCCCTCCTTTTCTAAATACAAGGCCTATTTAATAATTTAAATGATTTTTTACATCTTAAATATATGACATTAATCTTCTTTATCTCCCTTATTTAATTTTTTTCTACATTACCCTTATTAAAAGAAGGGTATTTTATAAAAAGTGATATGCATTTGTTAGGAAATAATGTCAAAAAACCAACTTAATTAATTTTCTTTATTTTCATGAATGAGTTAATTAGGTCTTATATTTAATACCGGATGGAGTAGAGCTCAATCCTATTCATTATTGGATGATATTCTCTTTTATTAAAAAATATAATGTAATTTCTATTTTTAATAAAAAAACGTTCTTTAATTTTTCGATTATACGTAGTTAGCCAAATATTATTTCGACTATATATACTCTTCTCATTATATTTATACGACTTTAGATCGTGACAAAACTCTCAATTCAATAATATATTAGATATTATTACATTTTTTCACCAATGAAGAAGAGAAAATCTTGGCTGCCTAAAGAAAAGAAAATATCGAATTTCAACATAAAATTAAAAACAGTAACATGCTGAATTGTTTTGATATACTGCCCTGTAATTTATATCTATAACATAAAACAAGACTATATAAATATAAACACAAATTATTGTTGGCCAAAAATATTTTAAATGATTTAATTAAAGCTAAATACTCTTTTCGCTATGTACAAATTGATTTGTCTTTATTTCAGATTTTAGCATCTCTTTCCAAAGTCAAAGAAGCGAGACAATCTAAAACAATGGTTACGAAGCAAATCATTCAGAATCAAGACCCTCTATGGCCTCCGCTTAATTCGTGTGGATCAGATTATTTCTTTGTGGAAAGAGTGTCTATTGATTTTTCTAGAAATTGAGATAGCTAGTATCCTCACCCTTAAATCGTCATACAATTCAGGCTCTCTCTCTCTCTCTCTCTAACCTCAAAGGGAAAATGAACAATTTGTACCTAATTACTTCCTTTATTCAATATTATAAAGTCATTTTTTAAAGTATTATGTTAAAAAAAACATCAGGCATTTTGTATGTTTGAACATATCATTAACAACATTTTTCTAAAAATACCCTTAATTAGGTGTGCAATAATATAATTAATACAATTTTTTAAGTAAGACACTTTATTAAATACAGGTAAACATTATAAAAAAAATGTATAATTTTAAAAGATAATTAACTAATATTGGGGGTATAATAAAAGTATCTTATAATATCATAGGAGTAATTAGCAAAAGCTTTACCGTGAGTTGCTTTTTGCAAACGTGTTAGTTTCTTGGTTGAAAAACATCTGCCCAACCCCCCCCCCAAAAAAAAAAAAAAACACACGCACACGCACACGCACACGCGCAAAAGGAAACGTTGTACATAGATATATAATACCCATTATATTTAAGACACAAGAATTACGTGCCGTAAGGCAATCACTATCAGAGGAAGGTGAAATGTCGTCTTCAGTTCAGTGGTATATGTTTGCGATGCCCAAAATAAAATGGAATCTGTTTTCCACCATGGGAATGCCACGTCTGACGGGCCCTTCTTCTTCAGAATGACACGTACGTCGACAAAGGGTAAGGAGAGGGAGAGCCACAAGCTTGAGCTCTAAAAAGAAGCTTGTTGATGCTTCAATATTAATCATTAATTCTCGCACATATAATCTTGAGAGAAGGTAGAGTTGGTTGGAACGTTGTTGCGACAGCAGCAGCCCACTAATTCAACAGAATAATCATCCATTCTTATTGACTATAATCTTCCCACTTGCTCACTTTAATTTCTTTATCAAACCAGGCATGTTTATTTTCTCTCGACTCTTTTTATCGTTGAGAACCGAGAACCTGGCGAGGAGGATGAAATAGAAATATAGAACACGTACATCAGAGCAATTCTTTTATCCATCAGATGATCAGAATCGGAACTTCAAACAAAGTATAAACTTGCTAGTTTCCAACAAGGTTGGAAGGCTATATATCCGTATATCTGGGCTCGCGAGAATAATGCAGGACTCAAATTAAGCAGCGAAGCTGTAACTTGTACAGGTGCGCGAAGAGACTCAGACCTTCAACTTTATTGGCAAAACCTAAAGTGGTCGGGCGTCCAAGGCAAAGGTAACCCAGATGATTAATATTACACGGGACTTTTGACGCACTGTTATTTCAAGGCAAGCAAGGGGGGTTTTTACATGATTCAAGAAACACGGTCCGCAACTCTAACCTCAGAAGAGAACACTGAAAAGCTCGTTTGATTATCGTACATTGCATCACCATATATAGATATATATGAAAAAGCATTTTACAATATTTTGAGGACAGCAGCAAGCGTCACATATAAGGGTCTGTATAGAAGGGGAAATGAAGCAAATGTAAGGGAAGAAAAGATGCACACACCACTGACACTCGTACATTCCATTAATTTCGTCATGCGGAAGCAAGTTTCAATGTGAGAGCTCTCCCATAATTTATTACTACAGATCACCTTTATTATTATTGTTGTTGTTGTTGTTGTTGTTGTAATTTTCGGTTCAAGCATTAGTGTGCGTGTATATATATATATATATATATCTATAATTATATAATATAAGGAGATAAAGGAGGTGATGAATTAGGGACGGAAGTTCCAAAGGTGTGGATCCTGAGACATGTAATCTTGGGGAGCAGCAGCATCCCAATCCAGCGGAGGAGGAGAGAGCATCAGTCCTTCTGCCATATTGAGCAGCACATTTGGCATATCAAAGATCAAATCCTCATCCACAAACTCCTCCGCCGCTCCCGTTTCGCTGTCTTTCAGTGACACTGAAGCAGAAGACTCCCCAGTGGCCGCAGACAAAGCATCTTTAGCAGCCCCGGCGGCGGCTGCGGCGCTGGCTGCAGCCACCTGAATATCAGAGGGAGAGGTAGACGCCGGCACGGGCAAGGAAGAAGCGGAGTCGGGGAAGTTGAGCTCGGCATGCTTGCCCTTGAGAGCAAGGGCAGCGACGTCGTAGGCGACGGCGGCCATTTCAGGGGTAGGGAATGTGCCCAGCCAAATCCTGTTGGGCTTCTTGGGCTCCCGGATTTCAGACACCCATTTGCCGCTGCTCCGACGCCTCACTCCCTTGTAAACAGGGTGGCGACCGGTGGAAGATTTGCTTCTGCTACTACTAAGCATCTTGTGATTCTTGGTTCGATGATTCCTTGCGGCAGTTGACGGTTGGGGGAAGCCATTTATGGGAGGAAGAAGAAGCAGTTGCAAGATAGAATACGAGTGCAAACCAGTTGTTGCTGAACTGCCGTGTGCCGAGAGCCGGTTGTAAGCCAGCTTAGTAAGTGTTGGATGTCTGGGTTGGAGACCGTGTTTCTCAACCCACGTTCCAGGGGAAAACACGAAAATATATATATATTTATATATATATATATATTGCTCTTTCCCAATACATATTCTTCACTACCATTCCCACTTCGTTTTTTTCTATAAACATTGATGTGATATGCACATTGGTGGGTCATAAGATGTGAGGACATGGATTTTAACTTAACAGTGGATACGATTGATCAATAGTTTTTCTGATGTGTGATGATTTTTTGAATGAAGACTAAAGACATGAGAGTAAACTTGAAGGTCTCTTGTTTCCTTTTTTTTCCTCCTTGTTTTTCCTCCATTGGATTAGGTAGGAAGAGGATATGTGGTGCAACTCAAGACATGGCAACATGGCGCGCCCAGCTGATGAAACATCTACATCGATTCTCCATGTAAAGTACTCTAAAGTAGTTTTATTTGGTCAACTCATAGGAGAGATCGAATTGAGTCTAATAGGCACCATTAAGTTTCTAGCAAGTATATTTTAAGTTAGCATTCATGTCGACCTCGGCCCGCAAGGCATCAATACATCCCAGTGTTTCTGGGCGCTAGTTACCGAAGCCGACCACGGGTGATATTAGTACTGAATTATGGGGTCTCTCTCTCACACGCGAGCGCATCATCATCTTCATACATGTATATCGTCAGTGGCAGAGCAGGAACTTATGTTAGGGGTGCAGATTAATTTTTAAAATAATAATTCAAACAAATTATTTAATATTTTTTTAAAAATAATCATATATTTTATAATTGTCCCCTACTTATTGTCAAATGCTATTAAAAATATTTCCTTCCATATAAGTCACTAATTTATGGTATTATTTATATATAAAAATATATAATAATTAATCAGAGATTTTAAAAAAGTTAAATAAATAAGTATATTCTTTTCTAAAAATCATATTAGAGTTTTGTACTTAGTTAATTCATAGCTGGACTTAAATTAAAACATTCACAAAAAGGGCCTAGATTTCAAAGGATTCAAAATTTTGTGGTTAGAGAAGGTGGTTGGAGAAGGTAAAATAGCAAAATATGTACTATTCATTTATAATTTCCTCCCAATTGAGGGGTGTGTATGCCCCCATCGAGCGTATGTGGCTTTGCCACTGTGTGCATCATCATCTTCTCTCACAAGTGTTACTAAATTTTATCTAACACACATACTTTATTTACCAAATATTAATGATAAAATGATTATTCCAATGATTCACTTAGGAAAAAGGTTTAATTATCTACTTATACACACTTTTCTTTTGTCCCACTCTTTATATATTTACAAGTTCATTGAGTGTGCAAGGCTATTCGTATGCATGAAGACATTACTTTTTGACGTGAGGTTTCTTACTTTAATTACAATACTTGAATGATCTTTTTTTTTTTGGCTAATACTTGAATGATCTTTTTGGTATTGGTGCATTGTATAGATTAGTTCTCTTTCTAATTAATTCAGGTGTATTTTAAATTATAACGCGTATGTATGTATTATCCGCACTTCTATTGGACGCACTTTTCTTTTTTTGTGTCTATCAAGGTTCTCTCTAGAACTTTTTTTTCACTAGAAAAGTCGAATGTATTAAAACAGCAATAACTCATACTTTTTGGCCCCAAAAAAGAAAGACCTAATATTGCTGCACATGAAATAATTTTTAAAGCAATGATTAGCCAAAACTCATATGCCTCTCTAGAATGCGGACATGTTAATTAAAATATTAATATATAGCCTATACTAGTTTTATAGTAAGGGTTATTCTTATTTCTCGCACATAATATAAAACTAGTATCAGCATATATAGTCCAGAATGTAGGATTATAGTTTTTTTTTAAATATCTTTACTCTTTATTATTTAACGTGCGCTATTTGATCATACATGAGAGAGATCATGGGTGTTCGTTGTGGCAGCTGGCAGTGGACAGGGAAAAACTGAAAAAAAAATCGTGATTTTTTTAAAAATATATTTTTTTGACATCCATGACGGATGTTAAAAGTATTTTATATTGTAAACCGGGTATACAGATCTAATAATTCACTGTATGAAGTTAACTGCAGTAAATTAAGATGGAAAAAGGTGTGGATAATGGGAAATGCTCCAAACTCTCAAGAATAATTCATTGGCTAAATTTTAATTTCCACTAAGTAATGTCGTAGATGAGGATCACTACCTCCTGTCTTTCTTGGGTGAGATGAGTGATTTAATTTCGCAAAGACGTCCACGTTTGTAGCACCATGTAGTTTGGGTGCATGAACTTGAACATTTGAATTATCACCTGATTGACCAAGTAAGCAGCGCTAATTAAACGTCTCAACTTGCATCCAATTACCAACCCATTTGTAGCAAATTAAAGGCCCAGTTTGTGCTTTCCATTTATGGCAAGCGGGGACCCTAGTTCCAATTGTTAAGGCTTGCTCAAAAAGGGAAGAAATTGCACTCGTTCCGTTTGCATATATAAAAAATATATATATCATTTTTAGCTTATTTTTTTATATGAGTAAAATTATATTTTTTTAATCAGCATTTATTATAAACTTTTTAAATTATCCCTCATAATTTTATCATTCATAATCATAAGAGATAATTAATAAAGGTTTGATTAATATAATTAATCAAGGGTATTGTAATCTACTTATTTTATTTTCAGACAAAATTAATATAGTTAATTAATTTTTTTAAACTGTGTGATACAGTTTTTTTCTCTTACAAATAAAAATGAAAGGAGTACCTCCCCTGTAAGTATAGAAAAAGCTCTAACTAATATGCCTAAGTTTATATAATAACGCCTAAACGTGTTTGAAACTTTCCAGTTTATCATGATTCAAAAGCTATTCTTACAAGAAACGTAACTTTAACAAGGAAAAAAAAATCAATTTTCTACTCCTTTTATACACAAAAACAATAAGTTATCAATATATCATGTAAAAATAAAAGAAGCCAATGTTATTATCAGTACACTATCTATTGATGCAATCTTTTTGTTATCATTATTTGATATCTAATACTGTTACATCACAATTTAAAGTTGGAACTTGGAACTCAGCCTTTTTTAAAAGGATTTAAATATATTCAATCCAACCACGAATAATTAATGTTTTATTTTCTCTGGAATAGTTAAAATGTGTTTAAAAAAAAAAAAACAATCCCACGTGAAGGCTCGCTGGAGTGTCGAGGCAAGGTATTTTCTAAATCAAGTAATTACTTGGAGAAGCTAAAAGTTTATCTTCTCTTTTTTTCTGCGACATATCAATTCCCCCACGCCAGCAGCTCTACTGGTCATATTGACTCGCAGTTTAGGGGGCGGGGGAAAAAGAAAAACGGAACAACATCCAAGCGAGAGTTTTTCGTCCCCAGACAAAATAGGAGTTTAAGAGGTTGCTTGGTTTTGTTTTATTTTTTTTAAATTATCTTGTAAACCAATTTCGAAATATCATTTTTTAAAATAAAAAAAACGAAAATTTGTTTAGTTATATTAATTTGAAAATAACTTCAGAGTTGCAAAAATGGGGAATAGTGGATAACGATAATCATAATTGAAGATAGTTTTTCAAATGAAATATGTTTTTAAAACAAAAAACAAAAACAGTAATAAGTTATTTTTATTAAAAAATAAAAAAATAGAAACATTTTTAAAAATATTTAAATCTAATACTCTTACCCAGATATATATATATATATATATATTTGTTTTAAAAAACAAAAATCAAACATGTCTTAAAATAATTTTTATAAACACAAACCAAACACGTCCTAGATTTTCTAAAACAGGAAGCTTAACCATTATTTGAAAACAAAAAAAAAAAATAAACCTGACACAAATTTTCATACTTTAACAACATTTTGATTTGATTGAAACACGACCGAGGGCAAAGCTCCTTTTACGTGTAATGGTGAGAACGCAATATAACTTAGAAAAATAAAATTGTATCTAGGACATTAAAAATTAAAATAATACTATTTCATTAATAAAATTTAGTTGAGGGAACATAAAATCATAATATCGTATCAATGCACATATATTATGATGTATAAGATTTATTTTAATGAAATAAATCGCGTTTGATTTTTTGGGGGGTCTGAGAATTAAATAGCTCTGATTACGAGTGAGGACGCTCCAATGGGAGGCATGGAAGCAAATAGAGTTAGGGCCTTAGGGGCACGTGGGAGGATGAATGGGAGGTGCCTAGTTCGGGCCAACTACAGCGATAAGGACAGCTTAGTTGCTGGATTTTTAAGGACAAACATCTGGCACTACATCTTAACTCTTCCCCTTTCCCAATCACATTCCCACAAAGCCCACTGGGCCTGATATCCCCATGTTCTTGATCGGGCCCACTTCACTTTCCCTGCATTATTTAATTCCACATTCTCTCGCAACATTAGTACACATTAGTCAAAGAACGAGTGAGTTCAAATTTAAAATGACAAAAAAAAAAAAAAGAGGAGCAACTTTCTTGGCGGTGATGATGGAGGTTGATCACATATTGACAACTCAGCCCGATCGAAGACGTTTGATTGGGGGCTACAGAAGATGCATTGTGAGACGAGGAGCATATCAGCATCACTCACCCGCCCTCCCCTCCCTCGTGTTTTCCTGCCTCTCATCATATCACACCACACAACCCATCACCTCCACTCTTCTACTCCACCCATTATTCATCTCTTCGTTTAGTGATTCGTGTCTGTATACACTACACTCCGAAATCAGCCAGAGGAATCAGCATGTTTCCAATTGCAGGGAATTAAGTGCACCCCCACGGATACGATATCTAACTTTTCAGCCTCGGCGGATTCGTTTGCTTGCAATGACGTCATGATTCAAAGGCCCCACTTCCTTCGGATGTCTGCCATACTATATTTAGGCATCGGCTTTGCATCGCACTCCTTGCTTCCCTAAACTTTGCATCTTTAATTTATTATTCGTGGCCTAATCATGCCATGTGTTGTCCCGTTATCATGATTCAATCAAAACCATTGCTCACTCAAACTCACTTCAATTTC